AATTTAAATTTAACTCATTTTGATAAATATGATGGATTAATAATTTAAATTTAACTAGCTCTTATTTTCACTTCTTGTTATTTTTAAATTTTTTTAAACTAATACCAAAAGCAATTGTTAGGCTTTGGTAAATGAATGACACGTGGAGGTGGGTTATGGATGTACCATATATGAGTGGGCATCAAAATAATTGTAGAGCAGACAAATAGAGGGAGAAAGTGTGACGCGAATTTCACCACCGCTCCCTTTCGTTGAATTTAGGCAACCACGAAAAATTCCAAGCTTCTTGGTGCAGCTGCTGCTGCTCTCTGCCTGTCACTCCCCCTTTTTTTTTAATTTCCAAAACTCATATCCACAATAATTTATTCAATAAAATTAAAAGAAAGCCAACGCCACATAAATATTATTTATCGATATGGAAAACTACTGCATTTTCTATGCTGAATCTTTTGAGTTGTTCCTTTCTCATCAACGTTTTCTTGTGAAACAAATATCCTATGCGACTTCGCCCATGGCCAGGTCATTGCTGCTGTTAAAGTAATGGTTTCTTATTACATGGATTGATTCTCTGAAATTGTCAAGAAAAGAGGTGTTAATAAAATTAAACAATTTCTTCTGTTAATTAATTAAGTTGCGGGTGTAGTTTGGCTTAGTGCTTTTAGAGTAACTTCAAGAAAACGCATAAACAATTTCGAAAGTTTATTTTATTTTAAACTTATGAGCAAGTTTTCGTGTAGTTTTCACTCCAACGGGTCTAGTTCAGTGACCTCCCCCTATAATTTAAATTATCGCTTCGCTTGTACTATATATATATAAATACTAATCATTGCATTATACAAGTAAAACTAAGAAGAAACAAAATTTAGCCTATGTTCCCATTTCCACAGTTTCTGTATTTGATATGGTGACATTTTCTCACAATCCTCATTTTCAACTAAGTGCACATCACCCATATTTTGTTGGAATTTTTAATGCAAGTTGCCAAAGCCAATTGGGACACCAGAAAGTGGACGGCATGACGTTGTGCCACTATTATTTGCTACTCATGGTGGCCCTTTGAGATTCGGAATGTTGGATATGCTTGGCTTGAAAAAAAATAATAATAATAATTCTAATTATGAAAAGTCCAAGTTCATTCCATTGTTTGCCTTTTCCTAATCCTCTATAGCTTCTTTTTTTTTTAAAGTACAAGCGATAGTCTAAATCATACGAGAGGTAGTTTCTGACACACACATAACTAAGATGCTATTGGAGTTCGAACATGAAACCTCTAATATGTAAGTCAAGACTCTTTTCCTGAGACCTGTATAGCTAATAAGAGAAAATAATAGAGGTGCCTTTCAGGTTTAAAAGTACATAAAATTTTCAAGGTTTAACTTGGCTTTTAAAGGAGACATTTGGCCTTAATATAAAAGCTTTCGCAGCCAATCTTTCCGTGAAAAATATAATTATATGAAAATATTATGCAAAGCTCTTTTGTCTGTAAGTTTTCTTAGTACACCTTAGTGATCACTACGCCATTGAAATTATGTATCATATAATTTTTTGTGTTATATATGCATCACACATATCCTTTTTTCTACTCGCCCCATTTGTACTTTCTTCTTTATGCTAATATCATGCATGGCATGTCAGCTTAAAACTTAATCACTACAATTCATTTTAATTGTTTGTTTATTATATGATTTTAATGTTATTTTATCAGACAGTCTGACAACTTAAAATAGAAGCAAGTCAATGTCTCTTTAACGTCGAAAATTTACAATTTTTCGAAGTACATAGCGTGAAACAGAAATTAAAATCCTTTTCCGTGAAGCATGATATGTAATTTTCTTTGGCTTCAATCTGAAGGCTACGAAAAACCCTAGAAGTAGCAGTTTCAACTCTCAAGGTGATATATCCATCAATGCCAAGGTTATGAAAAAAGCTATTTGGAGTCAGTGGCTCTTACTTCTACGTAGTGCCTGCCTTGCTCTGAAATTTCCCTTTCACGCAAATTTCTGGGAAGAGTAAAAACTTTCCCATAATTTATATTGGTAGTTGAATGCAATTATCTCGTTGACTTTGATGCATGGTGTCGTCCGTGGAGGAGGACAAAAATACATTAACCTGCACTAATCGACTTTGATGCATGCTTTTAGAATCCCTCTCATCTTAACCCAAAAAATATTAAATTTTAACACGTGAATTAATAATATTTTGTGTGTTTTAAGAATAAACAATACTTGTTTAATGCATGTATTAAGGTAAGTACTGCTTTCATTTACCTGAAGAAAGATAAAAAGAAACTGATATACTAATGAACTTCTGAATAATACGTACAGCTCCATTATGCTTTTCTTTACGAGAGTTTGGTCTAATTTTATGATACGTACAGTCCAAGTTCAACCACCAAACGGTATCAAATCTGGACGGATATAATTTGATAGTATTACTTAGAGATTATGATATAATATAAGGTGGGCCGCCCTGCAAAATTGAATGATTTGATAACCATTTTTGTTTGATATATAACTTGAGACTCAGACTCGGAGCAGAGATGGATTTCAAAGAAAAGAGGGCCGCCCTGCAAAATTGGAGCAGTGCTGTGTACGAGCATAAGCCGACATGGCATGGTGAAGGACACGAGACTTCACGTGACCTTTCCCTCAATCGCCGGAACGTACAAATTACAAAAGCATCGACCTCATCCAATGCGCCGATTTCCTTGACCCAAACACCGTCGGCTTTTGGATGATGCATGTGATGACGTCATCGAATGTTTTCGTGCACGTGATCAGTACATGGCCTGGTGGGCCCAACCCATTTTCTTGTCCCATTCCCTGCATATGAGGTTGGGTATTATGAGCCGTTAAATTCGTATATGCTTGTAAGCAGTGAATTTTGTAATTCAAAACCATCAACTCTAACTCTGAGAGCACCATCTTTTGCCGGAAAAAAAGAAGAAGATATTATAGGCCTTGATCATTTTTCACTCTAGTTGATTCATTCAACCCAACCTTAAAGCGATGAAGTCCTTTGGCATGTGCAAATTCTAGGGCCATCTTCAAGGCCCATCACCTTTTCAGTTTATTTTTTATTTCTTTTAATATTCTATTTTTCTATATATAAAAATAACTTTGTTCACCACATTCAGTTTTTAATTTATTTATACAATTTAGATATTTCTTTTCTTTACTCTCTACATTCCTAAAATACGATTAAGAGATAGAATCTCGCATAAAGATCATATATAAGACTCGCTATAGAATTCTTGCAATATGTTGAACCTGATTACGAAATGGGTTGGATCTATTTTTACTTGGGACATAAGAGTGCCCAAGGTCCACGAGGAGATAAAGCTATGGATCCAGCCCAAGCTTGAGCTTTTGATTTTGTTTTTCCACGTATTCTCAAAACAAATTGTCTCAATTATGGACCCGAATTTGAGGGCACTGTGAAAGAGTATTTGGAATTCAGTCTTGTCCATGCCCCTGGGTTGATTGGAGTTTCAGCTGCTGTGCTAGTGAAAAATGGCCAGACAGTCGGCTACGGCTACTGAAAAAAAAAATTAAACATATCAAGTACAAATCAAGAGTATTTCGGTCTAGACTAGAACTGGCTCAAAGAGTTTAAAATTGTACAAGTTATACATACTATCGTGGGTCAAAATAGTTGAAGCGCAGAAATCAAAATGAGTTATTTGTACCCTTTTCGGTCCAGTTTGGTTCATGGGAAAAGAGGCTTGGGGATGAGATATCAATTGTTTTCTCATGTTTGGTAAGTCCATGTTGAAGAATACACAAAGTCTCACATCAGAAACTTAACAAAATAGAAAGTCCATATAATGAATGGCTCCACTCTTAATAACATCGAGGCCTTTTGTATAAAACCCAACAACTGCTAAACAGGTGGTTAAGTTGGGAACAATATCGATGTTGCTAGTGGTGGGTAAGGGCAGATCCACATAGGGGCAGGTGGTTTGTCCTTTTACTTCTATTTATTTTTATATTACTCCATTTTCTTAAATTTACAATGTAACTAAGGAAGTACCCCCCAAATTTGGATTCAAATAAAAATACTAGAAAATCAAATTCCCACCAAATCAAAATATGAAAAATCGGTTTTAGTGCAAAATACGATTTAGGCTAAAAATGATGGCTCATTTAGTCTGACAGGACCCAATTCCACTTTGGATTCTGAGCCGAACGCTATGTATGTCCGATAAGCACACTTGACCAAATTGCCCTTCTAACTAGGTCTCAAGATTCTTTTTCAAGTTTGACTTCTGCTGGAAATTCGGCAGAATCTCCCTTGTAAATTGCTCGTTTCCCAATAACTTTCCACCTGTAAATATATCATTAACATTGAAAAACAATTCCAAATCGTTCAGCATGCATCAAATATACATGGGAAGTAACATTTATGAGGAAGTAATTTCCCCTCAAATCCGTTCCGTAAACCAAACGGGGCCGAAAGTGTAAAATTTTAGAGGAACAGTGAGGATAGATGGATGCGCGGGCTTAGGCGTACAAGTACTTAATCACTCTTGGACAAAAGTTTCAAGTACCACAACATGATGTAATCATCTGTATTATATACCATCAGTACAAGAATATGCCCCTGAAAATCAAATATACCAATTAGATTATGATTCCTAAAACGCCATTAGATGCCTGCCCAATTGGCATATAAATATTTAAAATCCAAAACTCTTCGTAATCATTGGGTGGCATCACAAAACTCAGGTCTAAAATTTTGTTTAAAGTGGTAATAAATGTCCTTTTTTCCGTAGCTCAACATTCGAAGCAAATGTCTTTATACTCTTGGCTTTGCTATGTTTTTGGGCAACTACTTGTTACTGTTTAAACTTAGTATATATATAATCCTAAGACAGTGTGCTTAAATTTTGAAACAAAGAAATGTGTTGATTTGGGTATCTCAAGCACATGGTTACATTCCTAGATTCATGCTTACACCTTTGTTTTTAGTGTTGTCTTATGGGAGAAAAACCAAGGAGAGCATAGGTGCCAGAGAATTCTCTCTAATGAGAAATTCCAAAAAAAAATGCTTCATGCATTTGCTTTGGCCAATATGTCGTCTAGTCTTTGTTTCTCATCAGGTTAAGGAATCCTCCTCAAAATTCCAAACATCCAAAACTATTAAAATTCAATACCTTAACTTACATCATTCTCCTTATATGCTTCCCTTGGATTCTTCTTCTCATGAGAATGCTCTTCTTTAGATGCATGCCATTTTGAATAAGCCTGGAAAAGATAAACCTAAATTATTTCACTGCATCTGCATTTGGGAAGAAGAGGTAACAGAAAGAGGTGGGCCGCGCTTTTAGTCTAATTAGATTCCTCTTCATTTGAACAGTGCAAAGTTTCAACTTTGGCGGCATAAATAAAAACCATGGTTGGGAAGAAAACATGACAAACCGTTTTTGAGACCTTTTCAGAGAGCTTATCTTTGGTTACAAAAACTTTCTGCATGATATATTTTTAGTTTGTTTTAGGATGCAGATGCCTTAGAAAATGAAACCTGGACTGGACCCAGAAAAGACTTCAAAAAGGTTTAAAGAAACAGCTAAGAATTAATTTGTTTTAATGCATGCCTTATTTTATCAAAATAAAAAGTTAATCATTTCAAAGGAAAAGTATATAATATTGTTTTATTTCTTCATATAGCTGGATGACTTGTTATATATGTTTCTCACTTCTGTCAATTCCATTATGTTATATGTTAGTCATACAATAAAATATTATGTTAATCAGTAATTAGAGCTCGTAAACATGATGATATAGGGACTAATTCAATCATTTATATATAAAGTTTAGGGTTTACTAGTTGAGGGTTTTGTACTTGGTAAAGGACTAGGGTGCAACTTTGTGCAAAAAAAGAACGTCGAATATAAAATCTCAAAAGGGATCAATTTCCCAAAAAGAAAAGGGGATATATATATACATAGAAAGGGTAAATTAGGTTGTGTAGATTTGGAGAGGAAGCTGTGAGTCATTTTTCTTTGTGGATGGTTGTAAAGGCTGAGTGGTCAATTTAAGGTGGGGTTGGGGGGTTACAACTTACAAGGCACAGGAGCAGTGACCAGTCCTTGAAGAAGGAACAAAAGAGATTTGTGCATCACGAGTCCATAGCATCCAAACACAAAGGGCAGATTATAAGAGATACATAAGCCCCTGGACCCCTTTCCAAATGGTCGAGCCATTCACATGCATCATCAAATAAAAGTGAATATCCAAAACTGGTCCTGGTCCTGGATAAGATCTCATCACCAATTTGTTTGTGCAATATTGCAAGAGAGAGAGAGAGAGAGAGAGAGTTGGAATTGAAGTATAATTAAAAGAGCATATCGAGTAAGCTGGTGAAAATGGAATCAGTTTGTATAAAAAGAAGTGTCTGAATATGAAAGAATAAGAATATAAAAGATAATTCCTTCATGTGTATAAGATTGGGGGAAGAAAGAATATGAAATATGGAAGGAGACACAAGTAGTGATAAAAATGACGGGTGGAGTGGAGAGCTAAGCTTTATATTATGATTTCTTTTCATGCATGGCCTTTAATCATTTCAGTCTTAATTAGTGTAATGACAGCTGACAAGTTGATCCCATATTATAATTAGTGAGCACATGACAAAAACAAGAGCTGCGTCTCTGGATCTTTTAGCCAACTCATCCCTATTTTTGTAAACTCACTCACACTTGCAATTTAAGGTCTAGTTTAAGACTAGCTAAGCTTCGATTCAATTATTATTTTGGATGGGACAAGACTTGGATCAAACTGAATTTGAATGACGTATGTGCTAGAGTATTTTATCTGTTATTTGGTATAATATATAGTTAAAGATTCAACTATCTGGATTTATAAGTAAGGAGAAACGACTCGTTTGAAACATCATTTCACGTACCTAACAACTCAAGCA